AATGAAATTTCAGTCAGGGAGACCAGGCAATAATCCACGCAAGAGACAATGAGGATCTAAATGCTGAACACTCTTGCTAGCCTGTAGTAGGATGGGTCCAGAAATATTTACGAGGGACAAACGGTAAGACTTTGTGACACTTAGATGGGGGAAAGGAATGGAGGGATCTAGAAGCATCTAGAAAATTGTTTCAACCATTGTGTACCTCATGATGCATTTGCTAAGATGGAGAATATGGAAAGAATAATGCATTTGAAAGAGTAAGACAAAGTACATTTTGTTATCTGCCAAATGTGAGATGGCAGCATAATATCCAAATAAAAATATACTACACATGGATTGAGAATTGAACAAGAAATAGAGATCTGTGAATCAGCAGCTTATAGTTGGGAGCTAAAGTCATGTGTGTGGAAGTTACAGGGTCTTCACCAGGATAAATGTTACAAAAAGGAGAACCTGGGAGTAATCATAAGTTTTTTCTTGAAGATCTAAAACTGAAAGTTTTCTGCGCTAGCCCCAAAAACTAAATATGTACTGTAAATTAACAAAAAGGACATCAGAAGATATTGAACTCTCAAAAATAACAAAGAAGCTAGAAAAACACATACATCTCTTAGAGTTTAGGGCCCCAAATACTGTGGACAATTATGGTCACTATATTCTTTAAAAAGGAATCAAAAAATTTAAAAAAAAGAACAACTTGGAAGACTGTATGACTTCTGTATGAGGGAGCTAAAAATATAGGGTTCATTTGCTTCAAAAAAGGGAAATTTATATTGAAGTGCCCATGATTTTTTAACAGTATAGAAATTATAAATGAACTTTACAAGTTGTTGATGAACTTTTTTACTAAACATAGAAACAATAGATCAAGGAAGAAACATTTTAGATTCTAGTGAAATCAATTAAAAATACATCTATTCATATTGCTGTCTCCCTCACTTCATTACACTTCCCTTGAATGCAAGCACATAGCTTAGTTATTTTTCAATCCACATGGCACATATTAGGATCTTAATCATTTTTTGAAGAAACAAATAGAAAAATGAGTAAGGAATAAGCAAGAGGAAGTTATATTCAGAAAGGGTAAGAAACTTGGGGTACGATTATTCCAAGAAAACAAATACATGGAAAATACACATAATCCAGAAAGTCTAGACAAACTTGCACATGATAATTCTACAAAAAGCTAAAGAGTACAATTAAATTATATCTATCTTTACATCAAATTTTAGTGAAATCACTGATACAACTGCTTTGGGAAACTGATAGTGTCTACTAAAGTTTAATACATATGTATATTCCCACAAGCCAACTTTGTTCCAGTCCTGGAGAAGATACACATTTATGGAAATATTTTCATGCTCACTAAAAGTCATATAAAATTTCTCACAGAAACACTCTTCATATAGACCCAAATTAGGAGCAACCCAAAGTGAGAAGAATGAACAAAATGTAGTTACATGCCACAGTATAAAATATGGAATGAAAATACAGACATAAAAGAGTACATATTAATATTATATGAGTCTGTCTATATAAAGTTCAAACTCAGCAAAGCTAATCTATAATTTTAGAAATCAGAATAGTGTTTATTCTTCCAGAGTGATTAGAGACTAGAAAGGGGCATAAGGGATCATTTGAATTCTGGCAATTCTCAGTGTCTTGCTCTGGGTACTTGTTACCTTGGAGGTGGTATGTTTAGCTTGCAAAATCATTGACCTGTATGTATATAAGCTATACATTTCATGAATGCATATTATACTTCAATTTTAAAAATTTATATCAAAAATCAAACAAAACAAGTGTTACTAAAGCCAAGCACACATTCACTGGTATAAAAAGCTATATAGACCTGTCATGCTACATTTCTCATGATATTACAGGAAGGATGAAAAAAGTTGAATATGAAATACATTTATAGATATCATCTACCCATTTGAGGGCTTCTGTTTAAAAAAGAAAAAAATCTAAATGGTTCAAAAATAAGAAGGGAAAGTTCCTATAACTTGGCCATCAGAAAGGGCAAAGCTAAAGGATTTTCACAGCAATTGATGCCATACACCCTTGAAAAAACTCACATTTCAAAAAATCAGAGAAAACTTCCTTACTAAGCTACATCCCTGCTCAAGTGGAATAGCTCAGCAGATACCCTGCTCGACAAAGCAGAACTACATGCAAATTATTGCTTCTCTTCCAGGTGATTAAATGAAATTTCTAGAGCTGACAAAACCACTCTGGTTGTAGAGGGATGGGAACCCATAAAGAGCAGTTTTGTTTTCTTAAGACTAAGAGATATACAGCAGAAAAGTCTAATGGATACTTTGCTATTTGGATTCCATTCTTGGTTGGCTTTTATCCCATCTTCTTTCTGCCAAGATGCTGCCTGCTAACTGCTTCACTGGACTGGGCAGCTTCATGTTCTATTAGAAATCAAAATAGTGCAAACATCTGCTAATTTAAATGTTTTTCCCCAACATAAATTAGGAAGTGGATACTGAGCCTTAACTGAGCTGAGGGATATAACATGGTGAAACAAGAACAGACTGCAGAGATAAAAAGAAGGTTCTGAGGAATAAATAAAGATTTAAAAAATGGAAGATTTTATAATCAAAACATTATTAAGCAGCAGAGAAAGACCTTCACTGATTTTCCATTCTTATTTCTCATTTTCTATTTCATGTTAATATAATAAAATCAATAAAGAAGAAAATAAAAGAATTCTTCAAATTCAAATAGAAAACTGAGAAACTATATAATGATCTTATTGAGATATCCCCAAGGTATGTACTCTAAGCCAATAATGCATACCTTGAGTAGTTGAAATACACCAAAGTGAATATTGAAACTCCAAAGAAACCTCCTAGGAAAGCAATATTACTTAATTCTAATGCAGACTATTGTGTCAGTTAAGAAAATGTATAAATAAAGTTCAGAAATACATTGCATTCATTTTCTATCCATCTGAAAGAAATATAGTATGCATTAATCTATTATTTGCCTCAAATTTATATCTAAAAATAAATATTATCTGAAGTCATCTATCATATGATTATAGTAAAAGGAATAAGCAGAAAAGCATTAAAAAATGAGCTACTTCAATAAGATCCACTTGCTGTGCTTCATGCTATCCTTCCATTTGTGTCTATACTTTATCACTTGATCTAATAAAAATTCAAATATCCATAAGTCAGAAAACTTTTCCCATATAGATTAATTAGTACCTGTGAGAGTTATCTTGAATTTTAATATCTAGTCAAGGATCAATAATTATCATTATCTTTACAATTCTTTATATAAGTTTCTGTAACTCACTTGAGAGAAATAAATCACGGCTTCCCAAATATTCTGGTGCATCTCAGAAAATGAACAGAGTTACTTAGTATAAATGGGATCCACGCCCAGGGACACTGATGCAACTTCTTAGTTAATAATACTTTATATTCGTGGAGTGGTTTATCCTGCTTAATATGTTTCAAGTTATTCTCTCACAAAGAATACCTTGAGAAGATATAAAAAGTGCTATTATTTTTTTAAATTAATAAAATGTGATATTACTGATTGTTTCTAGTAAAGCCAACATTTATTAAATAGCTATAATGCTTCCCACAGGGAAACACTATTTTCTCTTATTTAATGGCCCAGTTATGAATAAGACCCAGGATTGGCTCCTATATTAACACTCTTTCTACCCAACACTGTTTCTTTTGTTATTGTCAGTAGCTTCATTATCTCTCACAAAGTCTAAGGACAGACTGTAGGTTCTGTAGTGGCCCAAAAGAAAATACGCATTTTAGGCATTCCTTCCTAACAAATAATTGTCACACCTAATACAACTCAGATAACAAACTCATTCCTTAACTCAGTTTTAGAATAAGGCTGATAAGAAAACCTCAGGCCAAAATTGTAACACTAGAAATTAAACTGTGATTGATAAGGTTATTTATTTTACCAAAAAACATATTTGAAGAAAGAGTAAAAGTATCTTCTTGACCTTTTTAATCTATCTTTGATAAAGGAACAGCTCTAAACATAGCAACTTAGTAATGATAGCTTAATGGTTGCTTTTCCGAGAGGTTAAAAAAAAAAAAGAAACTGTTTGGCTTTTTAGTTTAATTCAGCAGGCCTGAAACACCTGCTACAAGGTATGACTGCAAAGCTAAATCTATAAACTCAGGTGCTTATTTTAAGTATGAAGCATGAATAGCCCAGATGTCAGTCAATAGAAAGTGGTGAAGCTCTCATACACTAGAGTGTATCTAGCCCATTTAAAAACCATTGAAATTCAATCGGCCAAACAAACAACAACAACAAAAATCCCTGACCTCTACTCTAATATTCTATCACAGACGTTTTTGTAAACCTTATGAATGCAGCCTCCATGGTTTATATTTATACCACATGTGTATCTGACCTTGGAAGAGACTGGAAAGATGGATAATACATATCCCTGGGCCTGAGGAGTCTACCAAACATGACGTGAGGCAAATGCTGAGCAACTCCAAGAATGAAGTCTGTCTCATAATGAAAACAGCATGAGTTTTGAGGTTACAAAAACACTCCAATAACTAACTTTACTTCAGTTACAAAATGGGGATGATAATTCCTACCTTTCAAATGAGGTTACCTAATTTAATGTGAAATATTTTCCAGAATTTTCTTATATGACCTCTCTCTATACAGCAAACTATTGGCCATATTCCCTCCTTAAACATTTCTCCTCTGTCCTCTTAGATGACATTGAATACTAAATTTAAGTTAACAGGAAGTGACCTCTCTACCAAGCTCCAGGATAATAACTCAAGTTGGATCTCAAAATAAACATGTCCAAAACTGAGCCCATTGCTTTTCTTACACACACTCCCAAATATGCTTCTCCTTCAACATTCTCAGACTAAAAGGCCCCAACCCCCAACTTACTAACAATAAAATTAAGGAGTATCCTTGACTCTTCCATTCCCTCATTCCAATCATTAGGTAAGATTTGTTATTCTCCTTACCAAATACTTCTCCAGTCGGTACCCTTTGTTCTTATCCTCATTACTAGTAGTAGTCTAGAGAAAAAATGATTAGGGAGAAAAGGGAAGAAGTGTGATACAAGGAGGAGAGAAGAAATCACAGAATAGAGACACCTTTTTGGCTAATACAATATTTTGTCTATGATACAATTAGAAGAATCTCTCTAAACTTCAAATATGATCCTCACTCCCCAACTTGAAATTTTCAAATGGCTTTTAAATCAACCACAATAAATTTCATATCATTTACTATAGACAAGCATGATCTAACTCCAGCTGGAGTCAGAACATGTTAAATATGGGACATGTTTTCAGAAAGTTAAGTTAGATCTCTCTACATTAACCAATAATCAGATCTATCTGACTGAGGAAAACATAAATAACTTAGGTTAATAATCTTCCTAAGTTTTAAATATTCTTAGATGCTGATTTCAACAAAGTATTTATACAGTAGAACTGAACTAGGGCTACGAGGAAATACAAATACAAAGTAAAAATAAGCACCCACTCTGAAGTCCTCCACTCTCTGGAAATTGTTAAATAATAATATGTTAAAGTAGTGAAAAAAAATTAGTGGGACAGATCAGAGTTATTATAGGAACTGTAAAGAAAAGCGGGGCTCAGCATTAAAGAATCCAACTGCCCATGCAGGAGACTAGGGTTTGGTCCTTGGGTCAGGAAGATCCCCTGGAGAAGGAAATGGCACCCCACTCCAGTACTCTAGCCTGGGAAATCCCATGGACAGAGGAGCCTGGCGGGCTACAGTCCATGGGGTTGCAGAGTCAGACACAACTTAGTGACTAAACAACAAAAAAGAAAAGCATGGGTAGGTTAAGAACTTCTTCACAGAGAGGCAGGTGAGCATTTCAAATTTATCAGGTAAAAGAGAGTAAAAAAAGCCGACATAAAGTCAGTTGGCTCTTTACACTTCCCTGGTGGTCCAGTGGTTAAGATGCCGTACTTCCAATGCAGGAGGCATGGATTTGATCCACGGTTAGGGAACTAAGACCCCAAATGCCATGTGCTGCGGCCAAAAAATAAAAACTAATAATAACTAAAAATAAAAGTCAGTTGGTTCTCTAGCATGCTTTTCAAACAAAGCATACCAAAACCTGAGCTCCTGATAATACCCCTCAACCCCCTACTCCCAGTATTCACCAGTTCAGGAAGTGGCAATTCTTTCAGTTGTCCAGGCCAAAAAACTTCTCAGCCTTTACCGCTGTTTCTTTCAAACCTCAAATCTGTCTTGTCAGCAAAATCTATCACTTTTACTTTCATTTATCGAGAATTAGGCATCTTATCACGTCTAGCATGTCATCAGGTCACTACTTTGCTCAAACTATCCTACATATCTTTCTGACCTCATCCTTACTACTCTCCTTGCTCACTATGATCCGGCAACATGGACCTCCTTGCTGGTTCTCTAAAACTCAATGCACATCCCACCTCTACCTTAGGCCATCCCATCACTGGTGCACTCTTCTGGATCTGTGACTGCCTCATTCTCTTACTCTTGAGTCTTTTGAGTCTTTACTCAAAAATCAACTTTTTAGCAAGACCTCCACCCTCTATCAAAAAATTCAACAATTTCACTCTCAATATACCATACTCCTTCTCTGCTTTATTTTCTTCATATTACTATTTACCACTAATACACTTTACATTATTACTATTTATCATGTTTGCTTTTTGTCTTCTTCAAAAGCATGTAAGCTTCATGGGGGCACATGAAAAGTATTTGCCAAATGCTTATTAATGAATGAATGAACATAAACTCAAATTAAAATTTTGCAATTACTTTGAAATATCTCACACATACAAAAATTATCCTATCACATATGGGAATAAAATACCAGAAAACCGCATAGTTATACCTGGGAAGACAGATAAAGGACACAAAAATACATAGCACAAAACTTCCTGCTTCCTTTTCCCTCTTATTCCAGAGACAGATTTCAAAACAAGTTTACCTATATGTATGTATTATGATTTACTTTTGAGTTTTACTTGTGTAAAACTATTTACTATTTCATACTGTCCAGAATGCATACAGAAAGCTTCTGAACTTAAAACACAATGGCTATGGCTGTAGTTGAAAGGTCAATTGTATATGTCTGTCTATTAGAAGGTAAGTTGTATTTAAAATCCAGATCCCTAACTAACAAAGATTTTGCCTTACTTAAGAACTAGATAGTGTGAATGTATCTTCTATGTGCTGAGTATCCACTGTTTAGTTTTTGCCAATTTAAATACTCACGTCTCTAGGAATGGCTGCAATCCACCCTGGTATATAAAATAAATTAGCATTCTTGCACTCTGGAGAAAAGTATGTGTTTAGCACCAAATGGAATCAGCAGATGACTAAATACTCTTTTTTGCCTTGTTTCCATAATAAATACAACAGATGCAAAATGCTGGAATGTGGACAACTCCTAGAAGGATGGTGTTTTCCTCTGATGCAGAAATAAGCCATTCAAAAATGCATTCAATATAGCACACAAGAATCAGCAAGAACCACCTGGTTTATTTATTGCCATCAAGGTGATGTTATGACTAACTATACCACAAATACCTCTGTAGCCCAAATGAAGCATAAGACTGTCTTTGATATTAAGCATCACTAATTATCTTATAAAGTTATAGCAATGGTAATTCAAGTCCAAGAGAAAGGATTGCCACATAAATGATTTAGAAAAACTATAGTTCACACTAAATACTGAGCATTACCTAAACTCAGGAACAGTTAAAGACATGAGATATGATCTCTAAAATATGAGGTAGTAGAAGATGACTCTTTCTATATTAAGTATGAAAAAAGTACCTTACTAGGAAGACCCAATTTCATCATATCACCTCTTTCAAAAGAATACTGCACAAAGAATGTGACAGAACATCACCCATGGTTCCATAAGGTTCTCTAGCTCCTACTACCCAAATGTAAGTTGAATTTTCATTCCCATGTTTATTCACTGTTGGATATGTAAGGAATGAATACTCAGAGACATTCAGTTTCAGTCAAAAAAAGACAAAGATATTCTTTAACCTGATAAAGGGGAAAACACACAGTAAGGAAGATCATGTGTGTGCTTAGTCACTCAGTCATGTCCTATTCTTTATGACCCCATGGCCTGTAGCCTGCCAGACTCCTCTGTCCATGGGCATTCTCCAGGCAAGAATACTGGAGTGGGTTGCCATGCCCTCCTCCAGGAGATCTTCCCAACCCAGGGATCAAACCCAGGTCTCCCACATTGGAGGCAGATTCTTTACCATCTGAGCCACAAGGGAAACCCAAGGGAGATCATACTTAATCTAAATGCTTAAAAGACAATGCTGTCTGCCTGTGATCAGAAATAAGACAAGAATATCCTCTTTCACTTCTATTCAGTATCTAGTAAAATAATTTAAGAAGGGAAAATAAGCAAAATGCATCTAAATTGGAAAAGAAGTAAAACTATTTGAGTATAACATGACCTGGTATACAGAAAATCCCAAGAATTTTTTTTTTTTTTTTTAATTAGGGCCTGGTGGCTCAGATGGTAAAGCATCTGTCTGCGAAGCAGGAGACCCGGGTTCAATCCCTGGGTTGGGAAGAGCCCCTGAAGAAGGAGATGGCAAACCACTCCAGTACTCTTGCCTGGAAAATCCCATGGACGGAGGAGCCTGATAGGCTACAGTCCATGGGGTCGCAAAGAATCGGACACAACTGAGCAACTTCACTTTCTTTTCAATATATGAGATGAGCAGTGTTGCAGGATACAAGGTTAATGTACAAAAATGAATCATATATCTATACATTTAACAATGAACAATCTAAAAATAAAATAAAGGAAACAATACTATATATAATAGAATCAAAAACACATTTAGTAATGAATCTAACAAAATAAGTGCAAGACTTTCACACTGAGAGCTATGAAAAAATACAAAAACATTAAGAGATATAAATAAACAGAGAAACTTTTCATGTCATGGAATGGAAGACAACAGTATTATGATCGCAATAATTCCCAAAACTAAATTATAAATTCAGTACAATTACTATCAAAATGCCAGTTGTATTTATTTTAGACATTGACAAGATGAATCTAAAATTCTTACAAAAATGCAAGGAACCCAAAATAGCCAAGATAATCTTTAAAAACAACAAAACTGGAGGACTCATACTTTCTAATTTCAAAACTTACTAAAAAACTACAAGAAAGTGTGATACTGGCATAAGTATAGATATACAGATCAATGGAATAGAATTGAGGTTTAAAAATAAACTCATAAGTTTACAGTCAATTAATTTTCAACAAAGGTATGTAGACAAACCACTGGAGAAAGAAAAATCTTTTCAATAAATAGTTCTGGGACAACTGTATCAGTTCAGTCGCTCAGTCCTGTTGGACTCTTTGAGACCCCGTGAAACGCAGCACGCCAGGCCTCCCTGTCCATCACCAAATCCCGGAGTTTACCCAAACACATGTCCATTGAGTCAGTGATGCCATCCAGCCATCTCATCCTCTATCATCCCCTTCTCCTCCTGCCCTCAATCTTTCCCAGCAACAGGGTCTTTTCCAATGAGTCAGCTATTCGCATGAGGTGGCCAAAGTATTGGAGTTTCAGCTTCAGCATCAGACCTTCCAATGAACACCCAGGACTGATCTCCTTTAGGATGGACTGGTTGGATCTAGGGAATCAGTCTGTTGTTCCATGTCCAGTTCTAACTGTTGCTTCCTGACCTGCATATAGGTTTCTCAAGAGGTAGGTCAGGTGGTCTGGTATTCCTATCTCTTTCAGAATTTTCCACAGTTTATTGTGATCCATGCAAAGGCTTTGGCATAGTCAATAAAGCAGAAATAGATGTTTTTGTGGAACTCTCTTGCTTTTTTGATCATCCAGCAGATGTTGGCAATTTGATCTCTGCCTTTTCTAAAACGAGCTTGAACATCTGTAAGTTCATGGTTCACAGACAACTGCATATTTACATGCAAAAGAAGGAAGATGAACCCCTACTTCATACCATAGGAAAAATTAAATCAACATGGATCATGTACCTTATAATAACAGCTAGAACTATAAACTCCATTCATGAGAGGTGTTTGCACACTTGCTTGTTCCTGTGGCAGAGTTGAGGGGGAAGGTTTTCCACATCACCACAGCATGCATCCAAGCATGAACTGAGTGAATACTCCAATCCTGCTTGGGAGCTTGGTTGTACATACAGACATGGCTCACACATGAAGCAGAATCTGAGAAGGATAGGGACAGCCACTTCTAATGCTTACACAGGCAACTCATCAGAAAAAGTCCCATTTCTGCCTACAGCCAAACTGCCACAGCTTGTATCCCAACACACCAACTGCTTTGAGGCACAGCTCCCACTGGGGCAAGACAGAGGCATGGGGAGAGCAAGCCTTTTGGCAGAGGCTAAGGGCAGAGCCCAGTTATAAGAGACAAAGATGACTTAGACCCAAATCAGTACCTGAGTAAAGTAAGGGCAGGCATTACTGGTGCTATATAGGTGGCACATCAGAAGCAGTACAGATCTCTGACCCTGGCATGTCTACCATAGCCTGCATCCAAATTGAGTGTCTACAGCAGCTCCTCTTGCTCCAGCATTGCTCCTTTCTGGGATGAGGGCACAAACATAAAGGGAATGGAGCCAGCTTGGACCCAGCCCTCAGGGCTTCAGCTCCAACAATCTGAAACCTGTCCTTGCCCCTAATAGGGCAGTGATAAGCACCAGAGGGGAAGAACCAAGTCATACCTGAGTCCAGCCATAGCCTCTTCATCTCCTGCCCCACTGCCACCAAGATGATAACTGCTAGCACACCCTGAGTAAATATGCAATTTGTATTCACATCAAATCCATCTCTCTCTCTCCCACCAAAGCCACTGGGCACACACATACTATACAGGGACATTCCCACATAGGGATATTCATTCTATTATTAGCATGCAATATGTGTTAAATAATTGTTTCACTTAATTTCATAGACAGAGGAAGTTAAGCAAAATGAGAAGACTAAGAAACTGGTCTCATTGAAAGAAAAGAGAAAAGCCTGGAAAAATAAACTAATGAAACAAGCAATTTACCAGGTAAACAATGTAAAGCACTAGTAATAAGAATGTTAATGGAATTAGGGAAAAGAATAGAAGAATACTGTGAGAATACTGACAAGAAACTAGAAAATATGAAAAAGAACCAGTCAGAAATGAAGACTATGATAACAACAATGAAATACACACTAGAAGAAATTAACAGAAAACTGGTGATACAGAGGAATGCATAAGTGATCAGGAAGACAGAATAATGAAAATCACCTAATCATAACAGCAAAATGAGAGCAGTTTAAGGGACTTGTGAGCCCACATTAAGTGTACCAACATTTATACTATAGGGGTCCAAGAAGGAGGAGAGAGAGAAAATGGTTGAAATTGTACTTGATGACATTATGACTGAAAACTTCTTAAAGCTAAAGAAGGAAACAGATATCCAGGTATAAGAAACACAGATA